CGATGGTTTAAAAAGACAGTGTTTCACTGAATTCAGCAAAGCTGGCCCCGCTTACACCAAGTGCTGTGTTTTACGGGGGATCCAGCAGACATACCAGACAGAATGACTGTTTTCTTCCTGCTGCTTGATATTGCTATACACTGATAGGTAAGCACCAGGAGTGATCAAAAGCCCAGCAGCACGTGGAGTAGACTTTGAAGGGCAGATGCAAGCAAAAAGTGCCAGTTTAGAGGTCTCTTCAGTTTTAAACAAGACCTCAAATAAAAGCTGGAAGCCAGCACTGCACAAAGCTATTCCCAAGGCTGTCCTTCGACTAGAGCCTCCTATTTCAACAAGATAAAAGTCAATGTAAATGGGCAAGCAAGACAAAATCCTACAGCAAGAACACAGGCAGCGCCAGATCGTCAAAGCATCCCCAAGAGCTGGTATGGATCAAGCTGTTCTGCAGGGAGGCATTAATGCATCTCAAAGAGACACACATGGACACTAACACAGTGTTAACTTTTTTCCTCTCTCTCTCTTTTTTTTTTTTAAGTTAACAAAAGGAGACCACTCTATCAGAGGGGAGTTGATATGAAAAGACCATTATTATGCTCTTCCCCTGGTAGGATGCCCACCGAAAGCCCTTGTGTATTCAGTGGGCAGTCAGACACAGCTATACAGAAACAGGAAAACCAAGACACATTAATATCTATTAGGCAATAAAAAACCTACCTGGGAAAGAAGCTTGTTGTCATCCTCCAGCAGCTTCACTTTTGTTTCAAGTTGCCTGATATAGTTGGAAGACGAATCTTTAGGAAAAGAGAAAAAATACTTTTAAGCTTCTTGTGTTACAGGCAAGTAGTGTCAGACAGCAATATGTTTTCCCACCCCATGGAAGACAAGTTTAGGAAAGAACTAATGAATAAAACCCCAAATGTATAGGGTGAGGAGTGGATTCTGGCAAAAGGTTTTTTCATTAAAAAGCTCAGATTCAGCAACATCAGTATCTTCTGTGAATCCGCATCAGTGTCACCAGGTTGGGGGTTGAGGGATACAGATGGAAAGGGAAGTTGAAATATTGTGTTTCATAATTCTATAAAAGTAACTTCCTAGCTTTGAAAGCCATCCTCATTCATCTAAAATGCACTAAAATACTCAACAACAGAACCTGACGTTTCCTTTTAGGTTTGAATAAACAACCCCTCCCCACACGTGCCTTTTTCTTTCAAAAACAACTGAAAAACTCACAAAAATAAGCTGCTGGCACAGCTTGACAAGGAGGTCACTGACACAACTCCCTGTGTTTGAAAAGGCAAAGAAGTACATACAGCAGCCCAGGGAGCTGCAGCACACACACAGCCTGCGGTACGCAGCAAGTGCCTGCTCAGGACATCTGTTTTTCCTAGTGGAAGCACGTGACACTAAACAGAAAAATACCAGGACAATAAAATACAGAATACCCTCACATAAAACGGTAATATTCAACCTGAAGGAATGTAACGGCCAGTCTACCAGTGCAGTAAGACAGCAACACCAGACAGGGTGACCTGGCGTAGAAGATAACTTGCTGGAGAGCTCTGTAGGTGGCTTTACTGCTCTCCAAAACATCTGGGTTTTGTTTTGAAACGTGCTTTGAAGCAACACACTTGCAAATTTCACAGGGAAGAAAATAAAGGAACCTGGGAAAAACTTTTCTCCATTTTTATTATAGCTTAGCAGTTTGCATTATGTTCCTTCTATCCAGTTGCAAAATTTCTCCTGCACTTCTTATTTGGGTAGCTGAGGCTGTGAGCTGTCACAGCAGGACGAAAAGAGTTTTGCAGTTTAAGCATATGAAGAAACCCAAACATTTTCTGCACTGCTAAAAGGGCTCTGCAAAATGGAATCACATTTTACCTCATCTCATTTATTACGGCATGACTGCAAAAGCCACTATTCAACAACAGGACTTCTCACCGTGCGTGAATCGGCACGGAACCGGTTGTTCATGCAGCCGTGCCGATGCCAGTTGGTGTGCATTGACACTTGCCAGCATCTTTCAGAATGAGCCCCACCATGGTCTGCAGGCACTGCCGGCTGCATCTCCGCACACATGAACACACACCTGTGCACACATGGAAGGTTTAGGCCGGCTCTGCATTAAACAGCTTATCTTTGCCTTTGCCAGTAGCTGCTGAATGCACTGGGCACAAGCCTCAATGCTGTTTCTTGGCCACTCCGGGGGCAGTTTAGCAGAAGAGCTAGCATGCAAGCTACAGTTAATCACTGAGAGGGCTTTGACCATTCAAGAGAAAAATTGGAATATGCTTGAAAAAGTGCTGCCATAGACAAGTGCCAAACCGCACATAAAGGAACAGCAGGACGGAGCGGAGTCAAGTGCCCATCTAAAGCACAAACACTGTCGGAGGAAACATGCTCACTTTTTTGTTTTGATTGTGCTCTGTCCAAAGCCAGGAAATCCAAACGAGTCCTCATGAAAAAGCTTAAGAAGACACTGTAGGAAGCTATGTAAGTTCAGTGAACAGTTTAAGTGGTGGCAAGGTTCACAGCAATATCACCTTCAGCTGCAGGGACCACAAACTCTTTGCCCAACAACAACGCCAACATAGGAGGAGTCTCCAGGTCAGAGGAGAAGAGGGCAAACCAAGTAGGTTATAGGATCAATCCATAGCAACTTCCCTGCAAAGGCCTCGTGCCAACAGTGTCGTGAATTTAGCCATGCATATCAAAAGGTGGTGAGCATATAGTGCTGCAGAAGATCGGTGCTTAAGTCAGCAAGATTTCAGCATCAGCTTGAACAACCTGATGAATTAGCAATGAACCTGGCCTCCAGCAGGGTAAGAGGGGAGTTTGAGATTCTTAAATACAAAGCCAGGAGGACCATGGACCCTTGGTCTGACCTCCTCTGTGCCTCAGGCTGCCACACTTTTTAAATTTATCCCTAAGTTCAGTCCAGTAATACCCATTTGTCTAAACAGTTTCCAGAACAGTCTCCAGTCCTGTCTGAAAACAACCAGAGACTCCACCATTTCCACTCATGGGCTGGATACAACAGCCTCCATCAGCAGACCTGGTCAGATAAGGTGTCCTTCCTTGCCTGCCCTCCAGCCTCACTGGTACGTGCATGCTGCTGGGGCAGCAGCAGAGCCGACCGCCTCCACACAATGAATGCAGTGATACACCAGGTCCTGATTTTTATCTCAAAGTATCTGGGCATTCAAAGCAGCTTCAGGGAAGGATTCAAAGCAATGTCAAAGGAGAGGCTCAATCCACACCCGCCTGGGAATTTGAGACATGCCTCTGGACTGAACACATTCTCTGTGTGCATAAATTGCCAGCAACACTTGCATAAACAAGTGTGAAAATGCTAGATAATGCTAAAGAAGATCTCGATGTGATGCCATTAACAGACACATGCTCCACAAGAACCCCAGCACTGAGGAAGCTGTTGCCCATTAGCACGCCAAGCCTGTGTCCCAAGCAGCAGGACGCCTGCTATATGCAGTGCCCCCCTTCACCATTGTACTCTCTTATCAATACTGTTTATGTTGGGGACCACCACACCATGTCATGTGCAAAGAACAGCAACCAAAAAAAAAAAAAAAAAAGCTTATGGGAGCTGTTTCTCCTGTAAACAGGCCCTTTCTCATAGCTCTGTGCCCTGGAGGTCCTCTCCAGCAGCTCTGTGTTCCAACACAGTGGGAAGTTACCCAAGGTGGAGGCTGGCAACCTGAGCCTCATGAGCAACCTCCTCAACATGTACTTGTGGTGGGTTCCAGCACTGCTAACAGCTACAGGAAATTAAGGTTAAGTTGACGAATAGTGATGCAGAAGCTGTTTTGTTCAGGCCCTGAATGCTACAAGGACTGATTGGTTGGTTGATGGAAAGAATACAACATGGCTGACAAAGAAAAGGAAATGGAGAGAGTGTTATTTCCTCACTTTGGTATCATATCCCTTGCAAAAAGAAGGGTACTCCTTGGGAAGGCAAACCCTGCGTCCCCGGGAGCCAAGGCACACCATAGCAACCCCCCAATCTTGAAGGCCTGCTCTGAGATTTGCTAGAATTCTTCACACAGCACTGTTCAACCCCAAACCATGTCCAATGTCTGACCACAGTCAGAAAACAGCTACAGCAACATAAAATATATGGAGAAAAAAAGAAAAAAAGCAAATGATCTGTTTTGTCAGCAGAAGATGCTCTATCGCAGGCAAAGGCTGAGAAACAGTGCTCAGAGCTGTCACAATCCTCACTGTGTCCCCAGAGATGAATTGTCTCCATCTTCCGGACCTGCCTGTGTTGAGGAAGGTGCCAGATGAGCCATTTGCATCTTGATCTCAGGTTTAAAAAATCCCATAACTCTCATGACAGCAGGCAGTAACACTGCCGGGCTGAGCAGCGAAACCCCAGGCTGGGGCTCTCCCACGTTAGATCAAGAAACACATTCCCAACATTTTTCTGCTTCTGACCTTCCTCTTATCAGTGAGTTTCCCTCCTCTCCTGCCTCCCCCAGAGCCATGGGGCAAGGACAGCTCTGCTGACCCACCCAGGAGAGGCAGCAGAGCTGGATCACTGACAGTTCGGGTGCCCTTCTCCCCTTCATTAGAAATTAAACAAATGGTCCTCGTTGCCTTGTCAAAGCCTGCCGCCAACTGTGAGGAATGCTCCACCTTCACCAGCCCAAATGCACTCTCCTCAGTGGCAGGAGCAGCTCCCAGATCTGGGTGCTGGGGCATAGCCCCAGCACACCCACCCGGACACCACCTCGTGGCAACAACTTTGTGCCCACCCATGCCTGCTGGTGGCTTGCCAGTGACCTGACACCTCGCCCTACCCTGTCCAGACAACGACACCAGTTGGCACAGCTAAGGGGAGGTACAGTATCCGGGAAGCAGACAAGGATGGTGGTCAAGAACACACTGTCAAGGACACGTGGTCAATGATAAGCTTTTAGGAGGATGCTCTGGCACTCGGTGCTGCCTGGGATGCCAGTGGGGCCAACGTCCTCCTCCAGCTACTCCTTAGGGCCACATGCATCAGGTGCCTTAGTGGACCAGATGGCACCAAAGGGAAGGAATTTCCCATCAAAACATCTCACCTCCCACCCAACACCCTCTCCGTCACAGACATCACACGTGGTGTGGAAGAGGAGGTTGGGCAGAAAGCAAGCAGATGAAATGGATGAAAACCATAATCACCATTAGCCATCTCTCACTTGTACAGTGTAAATGCTTCAAACTAAATTGTTCATAGAGCTGTAAAACCTGAAGTCCCATTTCTTTACAAAGCCTTTGAAGAACGAATTGGATGTAGCTCCACACATTATCTCCACGAAAGGTAGAAAAGTCGCATTCCAGCCCACGAAGGAGCATTATTGTTATTATCCACCCTCCTCAAGATTTACTGTCTTAAAAAATACACTCCATCTGGAATGGGGTGTAATTCAACTTGGATGTAATCTAGCTGAGTAACTTTTCTCCACACAGATAAACCACTTAATACTCATTACAGCTAAATTGAGGCAAGACAAATCACTCTGCCTTGTTTTAACTCAAGGGCTTCTGAGAGAGCAGGGAACAGCCTGGCTCCTGAAGCTTTTTTAAAACAAATTAGGAACTGTTTTAACAATCAAAACAATCTCTCAGCCTGCAGAGCACACAACAGTGTCATTTTAAAAGACAATTGGAGACACTGGAGCCTTTCTGATCCTCATCTGAGATTTCAGATGAATCTGTCAGAGTGGTAAATACAATGAATTATACATTTATTTTGACAGTAGCAAAAGAAATGTTTTTATTTCCTTTCCAAACCAGAAGCATGCAGAGCAGAGGTTTGCATGGCAGCTACATGGTTGAGATTGAGACACTTTTACTTAAGACCTTTTCATAATGAGGCCTTAGCACTTAGATCAATATAAGAAAAAAAATGCAATCCTTTAGGGTGGTTCACAGCAGAGATGCAAGAAAAGGTTAATGAAGGTGTCCATGAGATGAGGAAGCTGTTGAGAGCCCTCCAATGGGACTCACTCACAGCAGGAGGGTCCCCACACCCAGCCCGAGCAATACACTATACAACCCACCACAAGCAGACTTGAGCCAACAGTGGGCCCTTAGTCCTTCTCCATGGCATCCCACTGAGGTTTCACTTGTCTTTTCAATGTCTGTTACAAAGAGGGGGTTACGCAGTGTCCTGGAGGGTCAGGACCACGGTGCCCCACTCCAGCACTGTCCCTGTGTGCACCACACCCCCAGCAGCGAGGCTGGACACCCGCTGCCTCCCGCTGCATTTTCTCCCCAGGAGCTACTTTTACTAAGTATGATTTAAGACAGTAAAGCACTGCTATATTTTGTCAATGTCCTGCAAACAAAGCTCTTCTCCTCATAAAAAGCAGCATCCCTAAAGGCATTTTCCCAAATCGAAACCCAAGGAAGAAAGACACAGGAAAGAG